AAACTTTTTTTTCTGGCAACGTAGTACCGGATTTATACGAAACGATTAATACGAACACAATTGTATTAGTAATATTTTAATAGTTTATTTTTCTTCTTTCGTATTTTCGTCGTAAATTTTTGGTAATTATGAACTATTCGAAAAATTTATTTTTCAATTTGTAACCTTTGCATGTCCGTTTTATAGAACTTGAAAAAATTTAATTTTATATAATTTTATTACAAAATTCTTTTTTATATATATATGAGAATCAAAGCCATGAATTGCCATAAATTGTTATAATATTTCTTGCCAACGTTTTTGGTTACGTTGGTCTGTCGGACCAAATTTTGCCAAAGAGTCACTTAACTAAAGAAGTATAATCGCCAGCGTTAACAGGATTTTTTACAGGCGAGTTTACTCCAACAGGAAATAGAATTCTAGTAAGGACGCCTCGAAATAAGCCAACATTGAGCCATTCTGCCCTAACATTATTAAATTATATCGAAAAATTAAAATTTATTTTATGAAGATTTTCCCTCGTTTAAAATTCAATATAGCAAATCATTTTCACCTTTGTTTGCACTTGAATTGTTAAATTCAATTTTATTTTTTTTTCTTTTGTAAAGGATTAAATTTCCAAATTTCTAAAAAATTATTTTCGGCTTTCTGTTGTACAATCGTTCATTGCTATTTCATTATCTCATTTGAGAATCCTTAAATTGAAAACCTATCTAAAATTTATTTTTTCATTTTGTGTACTATTATTGGTTAGGCTGACTACGCTAGAAGTCTTTCCATGCTTCTCGACCTGATGTTGTGAAATAAAAAAACTTTTTTTGCCTTCTTACATATATTTTACTATTGCGTTCAGTGCTTTAGATTTTCAGTGCCAAATTTCTTTATATGGGGCATAAAATATTCCGCCATCGTAAAAAGAAATTTCTCATTTTTTTATATATATAATTATATAATTTGCTATAATTTGTTATTATTGCTCATTTGCTTCTGGAAATTTAAAATTTCAATTTCTAATTCATTTTTTAAATATTTTTATTTTATTTTTATTTTATATATATTTATTTATAATTTATATATATATAACACTTTTGCTTTTGCTTTCTTTTTATTAATTTTTAATTTTTTGAATTAATTTATAATTTTAATGGATCAATTTTTAATTAATTTTTAAAAAAATTTATTAAATTTGCTTAAAATGATGAATTTTGTTGGATATTGTTCCGAAATAATTTAATTATAAATTTAGTTTTGAAATTAGATTGATTATTCTAGTTTTTAGCATTTCACCATTATTCGTTTGTCTTCACTTTTCATTTGTTCCGTATTTATATTCTTCATCAATAATCAAATATTTTACAAATTTTGTTATCAAAATATGCATCCGTATTAATTCCGTTTATCAGCCATTTATCATTATCACTTCATATATTTTAAATGAATTGAAAATTATCTATTATCTCTGAACAAGTTACTTTGAAAATTTCTTTTCATACGAATATAGTGATAAATAATCTGATTCTTTGTAATATTTTTATCACCAAAATTTTTAATATGTATATAAAAAGTTTTATTTTTATAGGAGGTGAGATGTGATATCCCACAGTCATGCATCAATTGTCGAGAGTCAGTGAAATAAAGCGCTGAGCTGGATAGCTAATTGAGCAGTGAACTGAATAGCAAATAATGTTTGCATCAAGCAAAAAGTGGTAGAAATGCAAGAATGGTACTTCTCGCATTCGTGCTTGATAATAAATCTTAAATGGGTTTCATCGTATCAATATGATTGTTGTCTTTTTTTTTTCAAATTATTTAAGGCGACTAATTAATGGATTTGATTTTCATATCATCGCATAAATCGAATTCAAACTGCTTCCTTCACACAGTGATAACAGTTATCAATAATACAAATTCATTGTTGCCTAAGCCTAACTTTTCTTGTAGATTTTTGCCTAATTTTAACTATTACAAATGTTAATGTTAAGCTTTGTTCATTTTTAAAGAATTTTTTGATACAAACCCAAATGATTTTCATAATTCGACGTGCAAATTGTATTGTTTTGTATATTTCAATAATTAGGAGAATTTTGCGTAAAGATAATAGGCGATTTTTCTGAATGGTATTGGACGTAGTGTAGCAAAGAGATATTCCTAGTCATCTAATAAAGTTGAATGGCCTCTTAGGCAAAGGGCCAGTAGATCACAAGGCTTATTAGTAAGGTAATTTACGGTTGGCATAAATTTTTATATTTTTATTATACAAAACCTTGCAAATTAAAAGGAAACTACGGATTGAAAATTGGATAACATGTGAAAATTATTTATTTCCGAAAGAATTATAGAATTTACAAATAAGGAAGTAGAAATCCAGTTATATGTAAGTTACTTAACGGACTGGCGGTCATTCACAGTCTCGAGTCGTCATTCTCGATTTCTATGATTTCTGAAATATAAAACGCAATTTAGAGAAACCGGTCGATGCAAAATCGAATTAAATCATCAATTTAAATCTCGTTTTTCATTTTATCCCAAATAAATCTCGTTTAACAAGTTTGTCCTTTAAACTTTGTTACTCATATTTACTGTATTGCAATTGTTTTTTTCAGCAAAAAAATATTCACCGATAAGATAAATGATAATCAAATTGTTAGTTAGGAATGAAGTTGTGAATAAATTTTTCATTATTCATTATTTACTATTTTTCCGCAGTGATATTTTTGTGCTTTTATCATTTGGCGATATTTTTCACCGATTTTCGATCGTTCATTTTTTACTATCATTTGTAGTATTAAAGTTGCTGTAATAATAAAGTAATAAAAAAAATTATAAAATATTATATTGAAATTTTTCTAATTTTTCTAAATTTTTCAATATTCATCGCATTATTATCATTAAAATCCTTTGAGAATTAAACTTCTTTAAAAAATAGATTCTTATTTTTTTTCCTTTTTAAATCGATTTAATAGATATATCAATCAAAGGAAATAAATCGAATTATACGATGGAAAAATTCGCATAAATATTAGAGGGATACTTATAAAATAAAAAATAGAAAAAAGGCTTTAAAAAAAGAGAAAAGCGAGTTAAGTGATTAATGTTCATGAAGAATGATCTTAACCTAATTTTTATTGTTAGATCCTAGAAAACGACACATTATTTTATTTATTTCGACGAATATATATATTCAATTCATTTCACGTCAAATGAATTACGAATAATATTAAACATCAAATACCTATTGAATATGATAAGATAAGATATAGCTTATGAAAATAATTTTTATGGCTTTAAATCAATGAAAGTCTAAATTGTTATCTAAAAAAGAAATTTGATAAAATAAATTTTTATAAAAAAAAATGAAAAATATTGCAGATTGAGCATTCGACAAAACGCATAAATAATCTTATTTTAGCAATAATAAAATCTCTCTTAATTGTCAGAATCAATAAATTTTATCATCAAAAATTTGATGATAAAATTTGTTATAATTGAATGGAGTAGGAAAAATTTGATATGGCGAATAAAAAAAAAAAAATAAAAGAAAATTTTATCTCACCGTTCAAAAGCCCATTGCCATACTGAATACTTAAATTGATTGCCAGGAATTGAATTGTTTTTTAATGGTGATAGGAAAATTTGGTGGAAATTAATCTTCCCAGGTTAACGAATGCCTATCACGCACTCTCAATTGACAATTCCGCCTTCCATACCAATTTACATAGGCAAATTCAGCGTTCGAAACGATTGCATTGAAACGTCCAGAAAATCTTTTCGATGCTCTTGCTTCAATTTCTCGAGCCGCTTCCAAATTATCTTCTTTCGTATTCAAAACCTCCTAGAATATAAATATGATTTTCATTTAATTTATGATAGTTTATACATTCTAATATTTTCTATTCCTTTCGACCAGTCAAATGGCTTTGTGAATATCCGAGTCTTTTTCTCCAGATAATTCTTTAGCGAAGAGAAGAAATTGCTTAACCCCAAATTTTTTCATGAGATTGACTGATAACTATTATATTAAGCATTTGTTATCAAAATATGCATCTATTCACGCTATGAATATTATTAATGATATTAAAAATTTCGAATTCTTTCTAATTTTTTGGTACTTATTTCAGTTTAATATGAAATAAAATGGCGCAAATCGCCCGAAAATAGCTCAATTTAATCGTTGCCCTCCTTCGAAGCGCCAGCGCTGAAGTTCTACTCTCATATAAACTTATCCTTCAAAAATTCAGGTGATATACTGGCTTTTCACCTTTTCACCAGTATTTTTATCGATAATTTGACTCGATCGCAAGTAGATCTGCTGCGATAAGCCAGCAAGATAAGTCTAACCCAGTGATGGCAATCTTTTAGAAAAATAATCGAATATGATAGGAGTGATAACAGATAAATCACGATAAAGCACCAATGATATAGAATATTATAATGGCAAATTTATAAAATCACTAGCAATAAATTTTAATTGCTTCGTTCATTAAAAAAACAAATCTGTAAAAAAAAATTCACCTCTATAATACTTTTAAGTTCTTCATCATTACAAGCTTTATCGCTTTCTTCTTCGAGATCGGTTTCCTCCTCCTCGTAACCAATTAAATTGTTACCAGAAGCTGGTTTCACTTGCTGAATAGCATTTAGTATAGATTTTTAATAATGATTTGAGAAGAATTTTTCGAATTTCTTCGTAAAATTGATGAGATTTTTATGTATATTTTTTGACCATCTCACTACCTCACCAACTTCTATTATGATTATTTTCATTTAATGATTTGATTCATTTGTTATATAGATTCATTTGTTACATATCCTCGAAAAATTATGGATTACTTATCAGATCAAATTATTACCAGAAGCTGGTTATCAGATTATCAGAAATATAAAAATTCATTAAAAGAACTGATTTCACTCAAAACAGTTAAAGGGAAAAAATATATGAGGTAAACCAGAAATAAAAGGCCTTCATTTTTAAATGTTTCATTACCTGCTGTGGTTGTTGAGGTACTTCAGGTATCTGAGGCACTTCAGGTATGAGCTGAGATATATCAGGTATTTTTTCTTCTTCCAGTTGCTGCGATGGTAGAGGAGCAGGGAGTGGGACTTTAGGTAACTTTTGAGGAGCTGGTACAATTGATTGTTGATATTCTGGAGCAGAAGGAAGAGCAGGAAGAGATGCAGAAGAAGGGACGGCTATAGTTGGCGGTACTGGTCTAGTAACCCTCACTTGCTCAGGTTTATATGTTTCCTTGTGAGTACCAATATTAGCTCCATGTGGCTCTTGATACTGCTCCTGGCGCTCACTTAATTCATCATATTCAGTGCCTGAATTAAATTAATGTTTAGAATGTCGAGAATAAAATATGCACTTGTACAATACGTAAATATGGAAGATAAATACGAACCTGAAGGTTCCAAATAAGGTGCTGGCTGTGGTGATGGTGCCGGTTGTGGTATGGGCTGTGGTTGAACAAAAGGTGAGGGTTGAGATCTTGGTACTTCTGGTACTGCTGGTACTTCTAGACTCTCTACTGGACCTGGCCGCGGTGCAGTCTCGAGGTAATTTTGCACAGGTTCAGGTGGAGGAGGTGGTGGTGGTGGCGGTGGTGGTGGTGGAGCATTTATGGGTGATGGTTTATGTGGTGGGACAAGAAGAGAACCTGCCCCAGGATAGGTTTGGTCAGCAATGTCGTAATTAGCAGCACTTTTTCCATTGTAAACCCCAGCACTGCCACCACCATAGCTCCCGCTACCAGCACTACCACCACTATAAGCACCTCCGCCTGCACCTCCACCACTGTAAGGACCGCTGCCTGCACCACTATCACTATAAGTACCACCGCCTGCACTGCCACCACTGTAAGCACCGCCGCCTGCACTGCCACCACTGTAAGCACCACCGCTTGCACCACCACCACTATAAGCACCACCGCCTGCACCGCCACCACTATAAGCACCACCGCCTGCACCACCACCACTATAAGCACCACCGCCTGCACCGACACCACTGTAAGCACCGCTGCCTGCACCGCCTGCACTATAAGCACCACCGCCTGCACCGCCACCACTGTAAGCACCGCCGCCTGCACCGCCTGCACCGCCTGCACTATAAGCACCACCGCCTGCACCGCCACCACTGTAAGCACCGCCGCCTGCACCTCCTGCACTATAAGCACCACCACCTGCACCACCTGCACTATAAGCACCACCGCCTGCACCGCCAGCACTATAAGCTCCACCAGCTCCACCATATGCGCCACCAGCGCTATAAGCTCCACTTGGCCCACTAGCAACATATGCTGAAAATAATTGTTATTAACAACTGAATTAAACAAAATTTAGTGAATTTCTGTTATAAATAGTGAGATATTAAAAACAATTGATTTCATGAAAAAAATCACTTCAAAATTTTCAACATCAATATATTCAAAAAATAAAGTTCTTAAGCCTAGAAAACTTTTAGCTTTAAGAATCTAAGACAAATAAAAAAACCTGAAGCTGGTGGTCCAGCTGCATATTTAGGTGGTGGCGCCGCTACATATGATGATAACACACGTGAAGCTCCACTTTCTCCACCATAACTTAATAGATATGATTTAATATGATATGATAATGATAAAATATTTCTGGCATAGAACAGGTGAACGGTATAAAAATTTTTTTCCTAACATTATTTCATTTTTATTACAGTTCATTTTTATTTTCTCAAAAAAATTTATGCAGCTTAATAGGGCATAAGTTTATGAGTTTTTAACTCTTTGTTAATAAAAAAAAATAATGGGAAACCTTGAACTAGAACATGGAGGTATTGATCCACATGATGGTGTAGATGGTGGACAGCATGTGCCACCTCCTCCACCAAGGCAGGCAAGAGTAGGGGAAATAAGTAGCACAAATACGACTAGTTTTGCCATTGAAAGCAATGGTCACTAAAATTGCCATCAAGAATCTTCCCTAAGATCAGCAATATATCCGGATTCATTGCAAACCGGCGATCCGCCTTCATCTCCGCCTTTTTTCATGCGTTGTTATCGTATTTCAACATATTTTCATGATATTTAATTATCCAAAACAGTAAATTGCATTATCAATGCCAATTAACAAGAAAAATAGGGAGGAATTTTAATTCAAATCAAATTAACGAATAACATTTTTCATTTAGGCTTAGACCTGGGCTTAGGCTTGTCTTTCAAGACCATTACACTCTTCATTGAGGCTTAGATTTATTATTTTAGAAGACTATTCAACTAATTTTTCGATACTAATATTATACAATATTTTTATAATTATTTTAGAATGGAAAGAAAAGGTGCAAAGATGTGGCAAAATAATTGATAAAATCGACTATAAAAAAGAAGGATTAACTGCCATAATAAAAATTTCTTCATTATTTGCCTAAAATTTACAAATTACAGCGTGAACCAGGTCGTGCATAAAAAAATCTCTTTATTTTTTCAGTTAGATTTTCAGTTAACGAAATTCTTAAAATTTTTAGAAGTTTTCTGGAAGTCTTATCAGCGGATATCACCTCTGATACTTTTTTTAAATTTTATATTAGGAAGATATATTAATGCTTTCTAAGTGCGCTCACCATTTCTGGTTAGACTTAATCCGCTGGTTTGTCGAATCAGGCAAATTTTTGCCAGGAACTCATTTAATGATAAAAATATAATTAAATTACTAGTACTTCTTGAATTTTTGAAAAACAGGTTTATTCTTTCTAAAAATGAAATCCCAGTGTCAGCGCTCAGAAGCACATTGCAGTTTAACTTTCCATTATAATTAGTTCAAAAATTCTTCCTTCGTGGATGAATGAAAAAATGTTTTTTTTTCCTTCGGTATCTTGGAATTTTTGCACCAAAATCGATTCTATTGTTTCAAAAAAAACGGGTTGTATAAAAAATTTCATTTTTTTATGTCCTTGAGAATTCCATCACATCCTTAACATATCCGCTATCCTTTTCTTTTTCTGTTTCTTCTTTAGGCAATTTATGATTTTTTTTCCTTTTCTAAGGTGAGCTCAGCTGATTTCAGCTGATTTCTGTATTCTCAGATTAGCTCGTTTCGCTAGGACATTTCGTTAAGATCAGCTAAATTTCGCCACGAGAGTCGATCGACTTAGCGATAGGAAAATTGAAACGACGAATGGCTAAGATTATTGCAATTTTTAGAAAGACACGATTATTTCCTTTAATTTCTTTTTGGAATTTTAAAGAAACAAATCGAAGAAAGAGAAATTAAACGAATTTTTAAAAGCATAGGATGAAAGAAATTGGTATCCAAAGTTTTAATTTTTTTTTTCCCATTGTTATCGAATTCTTCGCAGGTTTTTTTTTTGTGTTATAGAACAACAATCGTAACCAATATGCCTGTTGTTCGATGTGAAAAAAAACCTTAGGAATTCTTCTTCGCTTTAACAAGTTTTAGCATAAAATTTCGTAAAAATGAAAAAAAAAAGAAAAAATTTAAGGTGACATATATGAAGAGAGAGAAATAAAAACTTGATTCTCGGCTTTAAAATCCGCTTTTAATTATTATTAATCATTATCACTAAATATCACTATATCACTAAAAATTATCATAAAATCATTATCATCGATGATAACAACAATAGTAGTAATTAAGAAAATTAAATTAAATACTTGTATTTAAAATATTTCTGTCTATTAAAATCTATACTTATAAACTTATTGTTTTACAAAAAAAAGTTTTATAGATTAAGATTTATAAAAATTTTGGAAATATTATTGTATGATAAAAAAAATTTAATCAGATCGTTTATTTTTTCACCGGTAAATGCTTAGAAATTCATGAATACTGATAAGAAAGATTATTTTATATAATAAACTTTTGATAAAACATTTCATATTGCATCAAATTGAATTTTGTTAGTACTTAGAAAGAACTCATATTTTTGTCTGATATAACATTTCTTCTAGACGTTATTTTTTGTATAACTAGTGATCAGCTTCTAGAAACATTTGTAGATCTCAAGAAGAGATCAAATCAATTGGAAATCTACCCGAGAGATTTTAGAAATAAGCTGAAAAAAAGAACAAAATGATCGACAAAATGGTAGGAGCACGAATTCGATGTTTTTCCCTTCATGAAAATATTGCTACTGAGTAGATTTGCTACTGAGAACGTGGATGTGGATAGTATTGTGGATCCACAGGAAATCTGCAGATTTGTCTGCAGATTTACAGTAACTACAGTAGTAAAGCCTATTACACCAGATTATCAAATTCTTTTCGACTTACCATGTTCCGATAAGAACAATCTTTCATTGAATAATCTATACGGTTCCGATTTACCGAACTATATTGGTACTTTTTTGCCATGTGACTTCCACGCAGAAATTTCTTATCACAACTGATAGCTAGTAAAGCAAACCTTATCAATGATAAATCGCATAATTAACTTATTTTTGTTATTTCGCATTGTTCTTTTTGAAGGAAAAATTTTAAGCTTGCATGTTTCAATTTTTTTTTGAAATTTTATAAATTTTCTTAAAACTTCGTTAAAATTATTCGATTGGTTTTAAATATTATTATTGTTGCGATATTTTATCAAATTGTGATAATTTTAGCAATTTTGGCAATCAAATTTTTTTAAAGTGCTTATTTCTCCCAGAATTACTAATGATATTTGGTGTTCTACACGTTAATATTGGGCTATAATTTTGAGAAATTCAAACTTTATATCTCGAAATTATCTACAAGAATACGATAGTTTCACGCGCTTTCAATCACTAGCCTTGAGGTTAATTGGTGACATATAAGCTTTTTGTCGTATTATCGGTTAATTTTGGTTATCAGTGGTTTCTAGGGTGTCAAATTTTGGCTGAGCCAAATTAAATTTCTTTTGTTTGAGATAAATTAATTATGGAATATTTTTGTTTTTCATAAGAAATATTCATATGAAAATTTTTAATCGAAGAAAGCCATTTTAAAAATTTTTCTAAATTTTTCTAAATTTTTGATGCAATAAAACATTGTTGATATTTATGAAATTTATAAATTTTCGTACAATAATAGTGTTTATTTCGTGCGAATTGCGCGATTAAATGACGAAGACGAAACGAATTTTGAAACGGATTTCCTTAAATCATGAAGAAATTTGTTACACTTAACATCGTTCATCATTTTTTTATTTTTTAAATCCATTTTTCTTGTATTTTTTTAATCGCCACAAAAATTTTTTACAAAAAGATACTAAATTTTATATTTGTTTGAAATAATTTTCAAAGGCAAGTTTTTCATAAATTTTTTAAATTTAAGTTTGCTTTTTCATTTGTACAATTTTGCAAAAATTTTATCGAAGTTAATAAAAAGGAATAAAATGCATATCGGGTCCGACACTTAGACTTAGATCTTTTAATCTCCTAGTGCACCAGGACTATGGAGAAGTCGAACAGTTCGCTTGTTTTGTTGAGATAATTCTCAAATATTCATTCTTTCTGCCTTAATACAAGTTTTTATTGACGAGGAATTAACTATTTGGCTCAAAAGGCAATCGAACTATAGGATAACTACTTTTTTTGCCTTAATCTTGTATCAGATAACCGAGAAATGTCAGCGCATTACTTATTGTGCCAATGAATTTATAGTTTATGGTTTTCGTATGAGAAAATTTCAGGTTTTGATGGCTGCGAATGCTTCAAAATTATTTGGGAAACTAGGTGTGGCTGGATTGGCGCTTGCAACTGCTGTCGGAGTCGCTCAGACTGCTTTATATAATGGTTTTGTTCAATTTTATAAATTCTTAATTTTAAATTCTTAAATCATTTTTTCTGCTCATTTTTTCCAGTTTGGTTGACTGAAAACATTCATAAAATTTCTGTTTTAAAAATTTTGAAGAAAAAAACTGAAAATAAAAATTTAAAAAAGCTTTCTTTCTTTCTGAATCTTTTTTAAATTTTTTATTTGATTTTTCTTTCTTTAAAATTGATTTTAAATTATTTTTAAATTATTTAGCATTAAATTTTTAGTTGATGGTGGTCAGAGAGCAGTGATATTTGACCGTTTTTCTGGTGTAAAAGAAACCGTTGCCGGTGAGGGAACTCATTTTTTGATTCCTTGGGTACAGCGACCAATTATTTTCGATATTCGCTCAACTCCACGAGTTATTACAACTATTACTGGTAGTAAAGGTATTATTTTCTACACATTTTTCGGCAACTTTGAAGACCAGTTTTAGTTTTTTTTTGATGAATTTTTGGATAATTTAGTCGGATAGTGGTCTTACCTTCCCAGATTTTCTCGACATTAATTTTCGTTGAATTTCTTTATTATTATTGTGATTCAGATCATTTTATTATTTTTCGATTCCCATAATTATCAGTTGAATTTTTTTCAAGCAGCGAATACAAAATAAACTTTATAGGATGTCTATCTAAATATTTAATAGGCGTCATTTTTTTGTATTTTTAGATTTACAAAATGTCTCAATTTCTTTACGTATCTTGCATCGACCAGAACCGAGCAAATTGCCTAGTATTTACTTAAATATTGGTCAAGATTATGCTGAGCGGGTTCTTCCTTCCATTACGAATGAAGTTCTTAAAGCTGTTGTCGTTAGTTTTTTTGTCTCGAAAGTTTTGAAAATCTGTTCTTATTTTGTAGCAATTTTGTAGCAATATTTTGTTTTTTTTGGTATTTTTTCAAACATTCATAAAATCCTTTTATACATGAGAGCAAATAGCGTTCATATTTATATAAATCAGTTTTGAAAACGACACTATTTTGCCAGTTCTTATTTTAAAATTACAGTTATTTAATTATTTGATTATAATTGTTAAAGGGTAGGATCGAATAAGCAATTTGTTTCGAATAAATAAATAATCGTGGATTCGATCTCTACCTCTTGATGGGAATATTAAAATAAAAATGTAGATTTTGTAAGAGGACGAGGAGAATTTTTTTCTCTTTTTACTTTTAAAATAGCCTCTAGTTGAAGGAATATTAATGTGCTAATCAATGTAGCCTGAAATATAATGAATACTGTTAGAAAACTAGTACCACAGAACTTTTATTTCTGGAATTTGAAACTTTTAGGCACAGTTTGACGCTCATGAAATGATAACTCAACGAGAAACAGTTAGTCATCAAGTATCTTTGGAATTATCGGAAAGAGCTAAACAATTTGGCCTACTTTTAGACGACATTGCCATTGTATGTTATATATTTTATTAAAGTTAAATTAATTTTTATCATTTTTCATTTTTCTTATTTTTATTATAATTTTTTTTATTATTTTTTTCATTCGGTTCTTCATTCGAAACTACATTCTTTTATATATTTTTATTTATTTTAGACTCATCTTTCATTCGGCCGAGAGTTTAGTGATGCTGTCGAGTTGAAACAAGTTGCCCAACAAGAAGCTGAGAAAGCTCGTTATCTTGTTGAAATAGCCGAACAGATGAAAATTGCTGCTATCACAACAGCAGAAGGTGACGCTCAGGCTGCCAAGTTACTTGCTCAAGTAAGAATTTATGCCAAGGCACATCAATGTTTTGTTTTGTCATTTTTTGTTTTGTCATTTTCTTTGTTTGCTTATTCTTTTTTCAGTGCCTTAAAATTCAAGAAAAAAAAATATTTAAGGCTTTCAAAGATGCTGGAGAAGGTTTGATTGAACTGAGAAAAATTGAAGCAGCTGAAGAAATCGCTGATAGGATGGCTAAATCTAAGAATGTTGTTTACCTTCCTGGAAATCAAAATACGCTATTCAGTTTACCTACGATTTAGCCCTTATTTCCTTTACTACTCTTATTTTCATTGTTTTTCCGTTAGAATTATTGAGTTTTTGTATTTTTTATTTTATCATTGTTACTTATTTCTTCTGTTTTTTTGGAATAAAATGTTTTAATCTTTTGAAAAAGCTTTTTGCATTCGGAAAAATCCTTTGAATAAAAATCGGACAAGTCTTCGAAAAAATTTTAGCGAGAATTCCAGTCCATTAAATTTTAGTCAATCAATCTCAAATGTTTAAAAAGTGTCCTCATACAATTTAAAAATATGAATAGCCTAGCAATTTTTTTCAAAATTATAGTTAAAAGAATTAAGAGTTGTCTGGAATGATGGTACTTGCATAAATAATGTTATCGCCTTCGCTGGTTAGGGCCCATTCTCCGTCGTCCACCACGGTAGTTAACGCATATTTCGTTATTTGCTAAACCGTGTGACAGTTGGCGTCAAAAACGAGGTGGCCCAATCAAGACCTGGACTGATACGGTGAGAAAAGATTTTGAATGTATAGGTGGACCAGCAATATATGAACTTAGACAATGGAAAAAGGAATGGCTTCTATTACTGTCGACGATGGCATCAGACCGCGCGGCTTGGAAGCGTCTTGTAGCCGTTGGAGCCAGCCTAACCAGTAATTGTGAGAGCTGTTCGAAGAAGAAGAAAGAAGAATGATGGTGAAATCTTTAATTGTTCCTTGGCCAAATTTATTTTTGTTCCAATGGTACTGGCCGATATAAAAATATAAAGTCAATGATTGGTTTTAAGTACTTGGTACTATTAGGAGTGGGAATTGAGGAATGGACAATCATCATTTGCACAATATAAAAATTTGCTATTACCTAATAAAAATTGTCGCATGAATTTGGTCAAGCAAAAAGATCATACAATTTAAAAAAATAGCTATAAAAAAATAGCTTTTGCAAAAGGTATTTTGGTACCATTTAGGAAAATCACAAATCTTTAGTTTTTCGGTCTACTAATTCCGCAAATTTCAATTAAGATTAGCCTCCTAATAATCAAACTTAAAGTAAATTTACGCTATTGTCTAATTTATTAGCTGATAGCGTCTCATTTATTGTTCAGTTATCAATTTAAATGCAACATTTTCCTTAATTTCGACCGGTTTATCAGTGTGATTTTTTTTAAAATGATTTATTTATTTAACAAATATTTTTGTATTTTGTTTTTTTCATCGACCGAATTTCTAAATGATTTTAAATTGTGAATTGAAAAAAAAAATGAAAATTTAAATTTAATTTATGTTCAAAAATTTGTAGAAAAATTTAACGAACAATAAATATTTCTTAAAATTTTCTTTTTTTTGTATAAAAAATTGTCTTTTAGTGTAAATTTTTTGCAAAAAAATTCATATTTTTAACGATAAAATTAAAATCACAAATCACAAATTATTTCGAAAAAATTCATTCAATTTGCGAACACCATTTTACACCACTTTTAACACCAATTTTCATAGCGTTGTGATAATCGTAATAAAATTCGATGATAACTTTTTGATATTAAAGATAATGACGATGGACCGATTTTCATCCTTTCGTAAAACTAGTGATAGAACACTACCCGAAAAGATTTTTATATAATAGTGTTGGTGTCCTGCATTAGTTGATCATCATCATCATCATCCATCAAACTAATCGTCTCAGAACAATGTAACTAATTAAACGCTGAATCGATTTCTCGAAGAATCTTTCCTTTCAATCCATGCTATTTTTATTTGACATAGAGCTTTAATTTTTAATTTTATCTTTTTCTTATCATTAATCAATTTATTTTCCTTTTCTAGCGAACGCTTTTAAACCTTAAAAATGAAATGAAATGAGCCAAATCGGTATTATTAATAATTGGTGTTATCAAATCGAGAACAATTTATTTCATTTCATATAACAGCTTTCGGCTTAATCTTATCATATCAGTGTAAAATTTAATATTTTCTAAAGAATTTTGAGAACTTCTAAAATTTTGAGAGCAATTTTATTTAAAATTTTTTAGTGCAAAAATTAATTTCATGACACATTTATCCCTAATCATTCGATTGTTTTGTATTTTTATTTTTATTTATATTTTTGTTTGATTTCTAAAAATCTCACATAATGATAAAAAATTTCAAAATGAATTGACTATATGTTACCAAAATTTCTATAGCTCAGTGAGTTGTCGCTCTTTCTAGGCGTCGATGGTTCTATCTCCAGTAGGAGTAAAATTATCGTTGAGGATTGCGAAGTATTTGCAACTTACACATATTTTATCACCAAATGGTTTCCTAACAAACTCTACCTCATCCGACAAGCCAGCCGAATGAGCCTAAGCACAAGTGATGAAGCGTTTTTAAAAAAGAAAATTACTTTGAATTATTTCCTAGAAAACTATATTCTTACAATAATTACTTATGTCAAATTAGATGTTTGCTTTTACTAATGCTAATCATATCAGTCATTATCAACTTATCAACTGATAAATTAATGATCAAGTAAGAGAAAATTCGGCCGATCATTCATTTCCATGAGTGGTGATCACTTAATTCTTAAAGAATTTAAGAAATTAAAGAATTATGTTATAATAAAATAATAAAATACTAATACCAACTTCGAAAAAATCAGTAATTTTCCTATAAATCCTTCAAAATAAGTCCCATAGAAAGTTCCATAGAATCCTTAAAATTTAGTAATTTTGGTACAATTGCTTTATGAATTTGTATAAAACTAGTTAGTTGTTCATGTAATTAGTGACATTTCGAAGATAGTTTTATCTGCAACAGATTTTCACAATTCTAATAAATCTTTTTTATTTAAAAAAAAAGAATTTGATTATACGGGGAAAAAATCGAAACACTCGCCGGTACAAAATTTTAAAATTTTCTTAATTCATAATCTTACAGATGACAAAAATTCTACCGGTGTTTTTTTATATTGGAATTGCAGTTTTTGCAGAAAGGTTAGTTGTTAATATTTAAGTTGAAAATTCGCTTTATCATAGCTAAATAGTGTTAAGTTTTACCACTTAGAGAGGATAGCCTAGTGAGCAGTGGTTTAAATTATCGTCTTGAGAGGTGATGAATGGCTCAACAGAAAACCTGTCATTAAAAATTTTGAGTGGTGTCTATGATCATCCGTATTTCTATTGTCAGATGACTCCCTGGTAAAAAAAGAATAGGCTATCCACAAAAAAATTCATGAGTTCATTTGTTCATTTCATTTGTTTCTAAATACGAACCAGCAGAAGAAAACCTAACCAGAAACTATGGGCCAACCATTTCATTTCACTTACTTAGTTTTATAATTATGAAAAATATTAGCACCAAATATCGTGAAGAATATAGCTGCGTATTATCTTAGATTTATCCTAGTTATTTTCATGCGTGGTTAGGCCATTGCTCTTGACAGGAATAAATCAATTTGAAAATTCCAGTGATAAAGTGCTATAGTCTAAATGACTCTCTGGTCATAATGTCATAATTTTTTTATTAGCCAGTTAGTGCAACGAGGCTAATCAGATATGATAAATGGTACTACCTGACTAAATGACTGCTTAATCATAAAGCTGTTATAAAGCCAGTAATTTTCTTATAATTATTTCAAAATATTTCCGACATTCGGCAAATCTTTTCATTTCATATCGTATGTTTTTGTCAGATAAATGAAAAAAATTTCGGAAATTTCACCAATTTTACAAATTAGACGTCAACAAATCAACCAAATTTTTTTATCACTTTTTAGCGAAAACTCTTATCCATTGTTTTCCGATTTCGAACATTTATTGTCCACTGCTTTTTTATTTTTATAAAGAACTAAATTTCTCTAAGATTTTAAATATTTAAAATGTCGAAATTGTCTGAAATTTTAATTTTTTCAAATTAAACCGAATTTATTATTTTTGACAATTTTTTGTGGTACCAAAAAACTGAACTGATTAATTTTATTTGGCTAATTAATCTTTTATCATCAAATTTACTGATAAATAAAGAAAAAAGGGAAAATAATATCTATTTTTTAATTATTAATTCATCCTCAAAAAAATTCATTCATTCTTTTTTAAATGATTTTTGGAAAAAATTAGGCGAATATATTAAAATACATAAATAATATAGAATTATCTACTATTTATTTATTTATATATTGATAATATTGATAATCGAAATAAAAGTAACTAAATTGAAAATGAAATTTGGAGAATATGCTCTGATTTCGGAATGCGGAGGTTGCGGGTTCCATTCACAACATAAATAAACTTGTCTTTCAAAAATCCGGGTGATGTTGACGACGACTCATCGATAATGCTGAGTGGCTGCCTAGCAGGATTCATCTGGTTCGACAAACCAGCGAGTGAGCCTAATCGGAAATGACGAATGCTTTTCGAATTAATTTTTTTATTAATTCTCTCAATTATTTCGTTATAAAAGAGTATTTTAATTTATTTGATTTATTTTTAAAAAAATAAAAAAAATTTACTAAAAAAATTAGATTGAAGAAATTCGATTGGAACATTTCGAGTTTATCGAATTTGGTCAAAAACTCAACAACAAATCGAAATTATTCAATGGATTCGTGATAACGCTGTTGAATATGAGGTAAATTATCACGAGAAAGAAAATGTAAGAATAAGAAAAATAAACCAGTATGAGAATGAAAATTTTCCACTCACTATGTGGTACTTTAGTTATTATGCAAGCCGATTTTATTTAATCGCCTATTTTTCATTTTTAGCACTGCCTATTTCATTCTCTAAATTTATCTCATAGAGATGAATGAAATGAATAATTGTGTTGAGTTCGAAAGAGGTGAAATTCGTCTAACATCGAACTCGAACTCGAAAGGCGCTCTGAAGTTAATCTAGGCTAAAATAAAGAAACAGAAAGGGCCTATAAGGCAAGGGAACTGAATCGAAATTGGAATGATTTTTTTGTTCAGTTATTTCCAAATTAACCCTAAGGGAAAATCAATTTTTGAAGTTTGATATATGGAAAGATTCTGACGCATTCACTGATGTTATGGTACCGCCAACAATGATAGCTACAGTTGATGAATTATTACAACGGAAGCGAATCGAATATAAAGTTACAATAAGCGATGTACAAAAGTAAGTCTTTAAAGATGAATCGTTTTTGACCTTGAAGTACCAATGCTATTTTTCTATTGGATAAAAAATATTTATTAGAATTACCGAGTGGATTATTGCGTTGATTATCATGTTTGCAAGTGGATATCTGCGACAGGAATTATTTAGAGAATAAGAGATTGTGCTGGCAATCCAAATGTATTTCCAAATAACTCCTTAGCAAAAGTTTCTGACTGCATTAGCTATCATCGAATCCAACTAAATTTGGTTCATCATTTATTCCTTTTTTTGCTAAAATTTTCCAGGCTAATTGAACAAAATGAATATGGAATAAGTAAAATAAAACAAAATTATACTCAGTTAAGTTGGCGAGGATTTTTACGAATGAAAGACGATCCAATCCTTGACGAGAATCCCGACACATCGAGTACGCTTAGTTAACCTAAATTTTCTCTAATTTCTATAAATAAAAATAATTTTTAAGATATTTTTTATTTTTATTATAAATTAAATTTTTATTACAAATTATTCCATAACAATAAATAATTATAATTATTAAAAATAAATAATTAAAAATAAATAAATAAAAATAAATAAAAATAAAAAATTTTTTTTCACTTTTAATTAGTTAATTTATTAAAATTTATTAAATCAATTTATTCAATTATTTAAATTTAACGAAAAAATTCGCGGAAATTTTAGACGAATCGTTAAGTAAGATTGGCGATATGAAAGTGTCCTATACATTCGGCGATTATGCCTCTTATAAGGAAATGTTAAAATATATGCGAACTATTGAATTCTATTATCCGAATTTGACAAAATTGATAAGAATCGGACGAACACATGAAAAACTTCCAATTGAAGGATTAAAGGTTATTCGGTAGAAACTAATATAACTGTATGAAATTATTTTTAATCGATCAAAAATCATTTGAATTTGAATTTTTTGTGAAGTTGGAAATTATTTCGCATTTGATTGTGCATTTTAAATATAACTAAATATTTCTTTACAAATAATACAATAATAAAAATAATAATAAAATAATAATATAAATAATATATATAACTAATAAAAAAATATTTATTCAGTGATAATATTGATAATGAAATTGGTTCAAAATTTTTGGTAGAACTGACTTTCAAAAATCTGGGTGACCTAGCGACTCATTCTTTAATTCAAGTCACTCCCTGGCGAAATTTATCTGGTGCAGTAAGCCAGTGGAGCCAAAAGCTTAGCTAGAAATGTTATTAGAAAAAATTCCTGAAATCGCAAAAAAAGTTGTTGATCTAAAAGCGAGTTACCTATTTGAGATTGCTAAGAATTCACTTTCAATCCAAAAAATCTATTTCAATCCTATTTCAGTTTTTTTTTCGGAAGAAAATAGATTATTGAAAATGGTAATTCGCAAAAAATCCGCCGTACAAAATTGATTGCTTTTTTTATAAAAATTATAAAAATAAATAAATAATAAATAAATTTTAATACCAAATTTCGTGGTTATACTTCAGCTTTGGAAATTTTAAGAATTTAAAGGTGATAATAATATCAATCACATAAAATATATATATAGATCCGAAGAAAAAATGACTATATAGGAAATTTTTTTTTAGAAACACTCACCATTTCTAGTTAAATTTTCTGGTTAAATTTTATGAAACCAAAAAAATCCACCAGAGAGTCGTGTAATGACAAAAAATGGATTATTAAGATTGTTCGGATTGAAAGACCGATTTACTCTTATTATGAGTAAAATCTCAGCATCGAAATACGATTAAGTACCGCTAAGCCATTTTACCCAACTATATATGAATATAATATTAAGAAAATTTCTTTCTCGATCCCTTTATTTGGCATGGATTATTATCCTTAATCTGTATCGGAAGCCTAGGAATTTAAGGATTCTTAACTGTTAACTGTTACAGTACTCTGGAGAGGGACTGTTACAGTATTCTTTGATGTTTTCCTGGAATTCAGGTCTAAAACAGTCTTGGTACTCCTGCCACCACTGAGGCTACTCTAGTCATCAACGTCTTTCACATCTTTCTCTTCATATATAATTAATGAAATGTCCTTTAAATAATTATTATTTGATTTTATTATTTTTATTTTTGCATAATTATTTATATTCAACAGATTGGATATCCTGTCGAAAATAACGAAAAGCGAGCCTTCTGGATTGATGGAAATATTCATGCACGAGAATGGGCATCAAGTCATACAGCTCTTTATTTCATTAATCAGGTTAAGAAAAAATTTGTAATAACTTTTTTTTATAACTTTTTTATACTTCTATCAAATAAGTAAACTTTATAAACAAAGTCAACAAATACGACAAAAATTTATTGCTTATTATTATTTTATTTTATTATTTATTATTGATTTATTATTTATATTTATTTATTTATTATTATTGATAATATATTATTTATCATATAGTCCCTACAAAGCGAAAAATCATCAGAATTTTAAAACAGAATTTTTATCAGAATTGATGCCTTTAGGATCAGAAATTTGGTATGGTTGATTTGAAATTAAAACCTCTTTAAGAAGATTATTTAAATGAGCAGTTGTTTTCAGTTTTTTACCCTTTTCATATTTGATATTCAATAAATTTTTCGCTAAACTGATTAAGCAGATTACCGAAAGAAAAGAGCGATAAAAAATTTATAAAAAAGTGAACCCATAAGAGTGAATTTAAGTGATTTAATCAACTATCACAGGAATAGAGTAAAGGATACCAGTTCCATATCAATTTATGCATATTTGGAAAAAATAATTTTTGTCGAGATGAAGTCGAAGGATTGACTTTGAATTTTCGAGCTAATTTCTGGGAAATTCGAAATAATTTTAAGTTAATATCTGGTTATGGACGAAATAGCAGAATAACTCATTTCCTGGATTCGTTGAACATATATATCTTCCCGTGCCTCAATCCAGATGGATATGAATACAGCAGATCCAATCCTACGCCCCAGGTTAGGTAACAAATTTTGTATCCTTTTGTATTTATTTTATTTCATTTTCAAATATATAACATTAAATATTTGAGCTGAATCTTTCTATGTTTTTAGGTTCGTTTGTGGCGAAAAAACCGATCACCTGAAACTTGTAAACCTTCATCGTGGGGAGGCAAACGTTGTTGTAGAGGTGTCGATCTGAATCGAAATTTTGATTTTCACTGGGCAGGTGCATTTCTTCTTTCAATAATTTTTATATTACCTTTATCGACACCTTCTTTTCCTTTTCTTTAAAACTCAGAATGAAAGAATAGTTTAATATATGGGATTGGAATTCATTTTTTCTTCTTCTTGTAACAACTCTCACCATTACTGGTTAGGCTGGCTCCAACGGCTACAAGGGTAAGGAATTTCCAAGCGGCGCTGTCTGATGCTATCGTTTACAGTAATAGAAGCCATTCCTTTGTCCATTGTCTAAGTTCATATATTGCTGGTCCACCTATACGTTCAAAATCTTTTCTGACCGTACCAGTCCAAGTCTTGATTGGTCCACATCGTTTTTGACGTCAACCATCACATGGTTTCAACAAATTTTTTAATTCACCTAAAATTTATAATTTTGTATCGAAGAAATATGCGAAATATAGAAATATTTTAAGAAGCAGGTTCAAGTTCACTTCCTTGCTCAAATCTTTATCATGGTGAACAAGTATTTAGTGAACCAGAAACAAGGTTATCTTTTATAATTTGATAATATGGAAAGATTTTTTTTAATGCGAATTTTAATCAAAATTGGGAATTTTCCAATTTATAGAGCTGTTCGTGATTTTATGTTGTCTACACGAATGCGAGATAAATTCGATGGCTTCATTACACTTCATACTTACGCACAACTATGGATCCATCCATATAGTCATGAAGTAGACAATTATCCGCCGGATTACTATGATTTGGTATGATTCAATCACCTAAATAAACTATTTAATATATCTAATATCAGTTTTTTTCTTAAAAAAGTCCTCACCATTACTGGCTAAACTCGCTCCACTAGCTTGTCGCATTGGGTAATGCGCTAAGGAGTCCCTTGGCGATAGAAATACAGGTGAGTCCCTAGTATCACCCGGATTTTTGGGGAGGTTTACTCCTTCGGAGAATCGAACCTCAACATCGGCGCTCTCAGTTGAGCATAACCCACTGAGCCATCCTATCCCCAATATTTGCATATCATATATATACGACAATTGGGAAAAGTACCGTTGATGTATTATTTATATTATTCTTCCTAGCACATATCATTCAAGACCCATAGCCTTTGACAAATGCAACTGTCTTTATAAGATGCAAGTGATCCCAGTGACTTCGCTCTATTTTTCTTTCCAAATGAGTTCTTCCCCAAAAGAATTTCAAGGCCAATGTATTTCAAACACTTAAAAATTTCAAAAAATTTATATATTAGCATTAGAATTAGAATAAGAATTTTGAAAAAATTATAATAAGTATTAATATGTAATATATAAAAATTAATTTTTATTAATTTTATATTATTATCAATTAATTTATTATTAATTATTTATCATTAATTTTATATTATTTTTTATATTAAATATATTATATTCTTATATTATATTTTTTATTAGAATTTTTATATTAACATTTCGAATATTTTTTAGAAGAAAATTGTAATTTGTTAAAACCAATTTGAAAGTGCAAATAGCAAAGTTTACGATGTAAAATCATAAAAACGTTCATTTAATACTATTTAAATATTTATGGAGGCAATTAATTGCTAAAAAAGATATTTGTTTTCATTTTTCTTTCCATTTTTAATTGTTCGCTTTAAATTAGAAAATTTCGAATATAGCAGACAAATAAATTGCAGCATTTTTTTTGCGGATTTTCATTAATTTTCTAAAGATTTTAATGATATTTTAATGATTTTAATGAAATTTAAAAAAATCCAAGAATTTTTTGAAATTTTCTCTCTTTCTGGTAAAATTTAAATTGACTCCACTGACTCGCCGAATGAGAGAAATCTTACGAAATAGTCATCTGGCAGGTCTTGTCTATTGTGTATGGAGAACTGACAGACTCGCTCGAAATAAAAACTGCTGTTTAGAAGCTTGGCAAGGCCTTAACCTTATAGCCAGCAGCGTCATGGTAACCAGTAATGGTGAGAGCTGTTAGAAGCCTTTACTTAGCCATAGAAGAATAGTAAGTGAATCACTAGTACCACTCATGCTTTTGAAATAAAGGTTTATTTATTTCCGCCAGAAATAAAAGTCCTAACATTGGCGCTCCAAAATGAAATTTAACAATTCATTGAGCCATTCCTTGTTAAAAATATAAAAATTTTTGGCTATATAGAATTTTTTCTTGTTTAATTTTTGCATCAGATTTTTAATGGAAACCTCTTAAAGAAATTTTGAATTTAGTTAAATATTTATTGAAATTATAGCGAAAAATAGCGAAGAAGGCCATTGAAAAGCTCAAAAAACCATACGGAATTCAATATAAAATAGGAACTGGCGCGAATATTTTATGTAAATCTTTTTTATTCTTTTTCACAAACTATGCAAAATATGTCTAAAAAATAATTCAATAAAAAAAATGATCTTTAAATTTAATAATTTATTTAAAATATTTAGCTATGATTTTCAGCCCCAGCTTCAGGAGGTTCGGACGATTGGGCGAAATCCAAACTTAACGTCAAATATGTTTATTTAGTTGAACTACGACCCGAATTAGAATGTAAGTTTGGTGATAGTATGTTGCAAAAATATTGCATCTTAACAACAAAATATTTCGCTAAACTAGTTTTTATTTTCCATCACCTTTCGTTATATGACGATAAAGAATTAGTGATAATTTTAGTGATTAATGATTTTCAAAGGTTTAAACCTTATTTAAGATTTTGAACTGCTAGGAGATTAGGAGATGGTGAAAAGGCAACTATTTTTAGCCAGTCTAGTAAATCAAATGATAAGTTTGTTGAAAGGTGAAGTCGAAAAGCTATCAATATGATTTTTATCACTCAGAAAATCATGGAAAATACATTATTAAATAAATTTTAAAAATGCTTGAAAATGCTTTCTTTTAAAAATTATTCAAATTTAAATTCAAAAAATCATATTCCTATAAATTTACTACAGAATTTCATTTTAAAAATTTTAGTATCAAACGGTTTTATACTTAATAAAAAGGAATTAATTCCAACGGCTTATGAAACTTGGCAAGCAGTCCAAGAAGTAATCGATTCGGCTATTAATACGAATTTGGAAAAACGAGCAAAACTAAATAGTTCAGTTATTTAATACTCCTCAAATATTTTTTGAGCAAAGTTTGTGATACTTTGGCTAATTTGGATTAAATGGATTTTCAAAATTATCTTCATTAAATTCTATCGATGCCCCAATAGTTTTATCATTTGTTTCGCTCTTTAGGGAATTTACAGAATCACAAAATCAGCCAATAATAAACTAAAATCAATTTTATAAGAAACTGTAACTTTGATAACTTTTTTCTATTAACTCTTATTTATCATTTCTGGTTTGTTGGTGACTGTGGTAGGAGTGGAAGACACTAGAAAACCTCTTGAGACGAAAGTACAAGATCGAGGATCCTCTAGCACCCATTTCATTTTTAGTAGCAGTTTCACTCGCTTTTAAGGTTCAAATAGTGTACCAACAGAAGTATTAAATTTTATATTTTACAGGAAATGTGGTAGGAATTTTTTAAAAATATATATTTATCTTGTATTGCTGATAAGAATTGCACTTGTTGATAATACTTTAACGAAGTTTGCTGTTTATTGTTGATGAATATTTCTCTAATTTTCAACATTAGTATCATATCATTACTTATTCACTATCATCCATCAATTTTTTTCAGTGATATCATTAAAAAATGGAAATATTTCTGATCAACAAAAGGAAATATTTCAAAATCACACCGATCCAAGTGATAAGTTGAATTTTATAAAGAAACAGTCCGAATTTCAACAGATTAATGATTCAAATAAAATAACAATTAAGCCGAATAAGACGATAAATCGAGGACCTACACCGCCAGTGTCTCAGTGGAATGTCACCACTGCGATGCACATGAATCGATTCCAAATGTTCAAGACGCGATCACCATCTCAAGATTCCACCAATCATATAACCAAACAGCCTATCGTAAAACAATTTAATTCTCAATCGATGCTAACCAAAAGTTCATCCATAATGAATGGCACATGGCGAATTTCAACGATCAGCTTACCATTATCATCATTATCATTATCATCATTAACATCACCGCCGCCATCGTCATCAACATTGTCTCGTATTACCATAACAAAGCGGGTGAATTCCACATGTCGAGACATAAGATTTTCATGCAAATTATGGCTTAAAATTAATAGAAATGTATGCATAGAGCAACAATCATTTATGAGTATACAATGCAAGAAATCATGTAATTTTTGTAAAGATGAATAAATTTTTATGAATTATAATATTACTAAAGTTAATATAACAATATTAATTATAATATTATAGATTCATTTGTAGCAAATAAGTAAGTATAAGTAGTAGGTAATTTATCATTGTTTATAGTAAACAAGTAAGTAACAATTTTATCACTGCTTATAGTAAATAAATAACAAATTTATCATTATTTGCTGTAAATAAGCTAACAAATTTATCAATATTTGTATCAAATAACTAATTGTGAAATTCATCATTTTTTGTATTAACTGCGTATTGATTATAAAATATTTATTTTTCATTTATAAACGACAAATTGGCAAACTTTGTAAACTGCTAAAATCTTTTAAGTTTTTTAGCTTTTTATTCTTATTATTTAAAAAAATTTTTTAAATATTATTATAAAATTATTCAAAATAATTGAATATTTAAAAAAAAAATTTAAAAATTAAAAAATTTAAAAAATTCTTCAAATCATATTGAAATATTGAATTTTTTTTTATTCTAATAAAATAACTTTAAAATTTAATTATTATAATTAATAGACGATTTTCAGAAATATTCAGTGACGAATGCCAAATTATATTTTTTTTTCAATTCCCCAAGAGAATTAATTTGTAAAAATGGATTTTAGCTCATCGAATGGAAATAATTAGTTAATTGATTAAAGATTTAGCATATATATCTTTAGGCCGACGGAAATAAATACAGCCCGGAGAGAAATATCCTGAGATATGCAGAAAGTTATATCACTAAACATGCAGGATCGGTGTAGCGTATTGGTTAAGGCTAAAGGTTGATATGGAATATAATAACGACGGGTTGAATCGAAGCCAAAGCCTTTATATTTCCGGCGGACCTTGGACCCTCTGAAAGTCTATCTGCGTTAAATCGATCTCCCAGGCCTCTGCCAGGTAGAGGGTACAAGATTGGGTGGTGACCCGTACCACTCACAATGGTTGAATGAGGTGCAAAGAGGTGTATTATCAACGAAAAAATTTATTATTAACATTTAATAAAGCCTGCAGTCCTGAATGTATTTTATAAATTCGAGATGTGTTACCTTCGAGTAGTTTTAAACACCACTTTCGATCAAGCATATATTTATATTGTTAAAAAGTTTTGATAGTGCTAGAATAATTATCATCTCTCTATCTCTTTCTCTCCCCATTTGATTTGCCAGCCAAAAATTTCTTGTAATAGTAAAAGCCAATGGAATGCGCCTAAGCCAAAAATTATAGGCAGTAACATACTCATTTCGCAATATTTCTACCCGTTTATTATATGAGAAAATCTTATATAATTATTTTTTTCTAAAAGCATTCACCAATTCTGATCAGACGCGCTCCACTGGCCCAGACAACTTTGTCAAGAAGTCATATAGCGTCAAGCAAATATACGGCAGTATTTTTTTTTGAAAATCCTCACCATCACTGATTTGACTCGCTTCGCTGGCTTGTCACACTGGACAAACATGCTAAGGGAGTCCCATGAAGAACAGGTGAGGCGCTAAAATCACCCGGATTTTTAGGTTTTTTTGCTGCAAGAAGTAGAATCTCAGCATCGGAGCTCCGAACAGTAAAAAACTGCCGAAAGTCGGCAGTACCAATTAAACCTATTTTTTATTGCAATTTAGATGCGATATTTTCGCTTATTTAAGCATCGCTAATTTTCGCTGGCGAAAAATTTGCCAAAATCGACACTCAATTTACGAGCGATGAATATAAATATAAATATAAAAGAAACACGTAAATAATAATTTCAAATATTATCGACGATAAAATCACGAAGTATTAATAATTATTTAATTAAATATTTATTCAACAATATATTAATATTTTTTTTATCTAATAGCGCTCGTCATTGCTCGTTGTGCTCATTCGTAGCTTATCGGGCAAATGGAAATGTTGCCATAGAGTCACTCACTTGGCGATAGAAGTACGGTGAAGTACCACAGGCATCACCTGAATTATTCGTCTGTGCTAGAGATGTGGAATCGCAATAATGGCGCTTCGAACTGAGCACTAACCCACTAAGCCATTCTACCTCCTCTTTTCCATAAATATTTTTTGATAAAAATGCTCTCAAAACCAGGTAAAGAGTGGGAAATTATATGGCGAGGTTATTTATTCACTGTCTATATTTTATTATATTTATTGGACACGAGCGGTGCCTTCGCTAACCCTCGAGTCACCTGCAATTTCGGATCATAATTAGTTCACTATTTTAAAATCAAAAACGATCAAAATAGCATTTAATTTCAAATTTAATTTTCTTATTTTAAATTATTTAAATTTATTAATTTTTATTAATAAATTTATTAAAGATCTCTTTTAATTAAATCAAATTACAATGAATGATTTTCATTGAAAATCAACAAAAAATTCTAATAACTAATTTTATATTTTTTCAGCTGCGTTTTTTCTTTTTCCTCTATAATGAATCAATTTATAATTTATCAATATCGTTAGTTTTGTTAAGTTTTTTTTTTCATCAGTAAAATCATTAATGTTATTGATAATAATAAAAAAAAGACGATAATTTCCGGAAATTTCTTCAAAAATCCATCATTGAAATTTAGAAAATTTATTTTAAATTTTCTTTTAGATATCTCATAAATATATCTAAATAATTCTTATTAAAAAAATAACATTAAATTAAATAGTCCAAAAATAAAAAATGGCAAATGAAAAAGGGGTTATCGTTATTTTTTATTATTAAAGAATTTTTTATAATAATTATTATAATAATTAATATTTTAATATTAATTAATAATTAATATTTTATAATAGTATAATAATAACATTTTACAACAATAATAATTATAAAATTCGCTTTTTTTAATAACAATAATAATAGTAATAAACAATAATAATAGTAGTAATAATAATAATAATGATAATGATAATGATAATAATATTAATGAATAATAAAAAAATATCAATAACAATAACAATAATAAAAAATAATAACAGTAAATATTTTACAATAACAATAGTGAAAATTAATATTAATAATAATTAATAATAATAATTAATAAATATTAATAATAACGATAAAATTATAATAATATTTAATTATAATAATTATAATAATAACAATAATAATAATATTTTATAAAAAATTATAATAAAATAAGTAATAGCGATAAGTAACGATATTTTATTTATTTTAATATTTTATAATAAAAAATATAATAAAATTTTATAAAATATAACGAAAATGACGTCATTTCCGCCTTAATTTAAAAAAAATTATTATTTTTGAGATAAATAGAATATTTTGGGATATTTTAGCGAAGGACAAATAAATTTTCTCGCGTGGGTCGATGATTCCTTTTCATCGAAAATTCGTCATTTAATGCGTACTTCGTGAAATATTTGATGAGAGAAAAATCCTGCATTCGTTAATGCCAACGTTGGGCTCCTAAAACGAAAATATAGACGAGGAGGAAAATCGTTGAATATTTTTGAAGCGAATTTTTTTAGAAAAAATATTAGTTATTCGTTAGCGCTGCTAAATGTTATGCGATAATTCGGCGGAAAAGCGCAAAATAAAAGATCACAGCGAAAAAACCTAAAAAAATTGAATTTATAGTTGTAATAGATGAAATTTTGGATATAACGCTGTTATAGAATGAATTTTAGCAATATAGTGCTGCAAGACAACGGTCTCGAAACGATTTGAAGAAATGTCACACAAAATATATGTATATAAAAAAGCTGACAAATGGAAAGAGTAGAGAAGTGGCGGTTGGTTGGTTTCCATAAAATCTTTTATGACGTCACGAAGCGGCGTTTGGGAATGTTTTAGCAACGATTGTCGCTATCACTACAATTACAGTCATCATCACCGTCATAGTCGTCGACGTTATCACTCACTGTCACCGTCATTATCATCATTATCACATTATCACAAGGAGGACGAGAAGACTATTATATTGTCGCATTTATTGACACCATCATTATAATTCAAACAAAAAAGAGAGAAATATTAACCGAATTTTTTAAAGAGAATTATTTCGTCGCTTAAATCGAAATATCACGAAAAACATTGATCGAAAAAATCCCAAAATCGGATTGATTCGACTGGAATCGACCCCGAAATCGGATTGATTCGACCGGAATCGACCTTGCATTCATCTAGATCAATCCAGATAAAACCGGTTCTCTCTGCGTCTCTCTCTTTCCTCTTCTCTCTCCCCCGCCTTCCTCCTCTCTCTTTTTCTCCCTTCTTATCTCATATTGATTGCTTATTTTTATTGTAGTGGACAATGTGGTGACCACCGACCACGACGCTGTGGATCATTTTCATTTCCTCTAAATGTTCTCCGCTAGTTTTAACCTCGTCATATTTCAACGTCAAAAACGTTAATTACAATAATTTAAACGGCTAATTCCACGTGAATGATTCTTACTTAACCTTTTGACACGTGGTTACGTGTAAGAGAAAAATTCTTCGAGAAACTGAAAAAGCTTTTTTTTTGTATTGTTCTATAATCGGCTTTATTCATATTTTTTTTTTGCTGCTTATCGCACCTATATTGACATTTAAATTGCATATCAATTTTATATCGTAGTTAAAACGATCTAATTTTTATTATATTATACACTCTCGTGTTTGCCACGTGAAGAAACGAATTAGATCGAGCTTGAGCTCGAGCTCAAATTTTGGGGATCTGCTTGAAGAAGTTCTTACTCTTTCTCATTTCTTACTTCTTCATCATCGATAAATAAAATACGAGAAAGAAGAAAATTTATTATTTTATTTTCAATTAAAACCAATCATCATCGACGAAAACTAACAAACTTCTTTCGATTTCTGCTTAAATTTTCCATTCAACAATTTATTTATTTATTTATTTTTCTTTTATTGAAATTTAAGTAAAATCTCTTAATTTTGCTTATTGAAATAAGGAGAGAATTGAAATAAGGCGATGGCGAATATTAATATTAATGAAAACGAACCTGGTGCATTCTTTATTTGCACCGAAACCTCACCGCGATGTTACATTATTCAACGGGTGAGTTCCGCTTTTTTTTTTATTTTTTCTAACAACACCATTTTTGATTCGCTGCTGTCCGAATTTATCGGTTCAGACAAATTCTGCTAGGGAGCCACTTGGCGATAAATAAAAGTACAAGTGAATTGCATGCATCATCGAGGTTTGTAGAAAGATACCGCAAATATCGCTTTCGGGGAGTAAAGTCCTAGTCTCGGCGTTCCGAATTGTTAAAATTTAATAATTGGTTGGTATTCAATATTTCTGATTGGATATGCTTCACCTTACTTCACTGCCATTGGTCTGATGAGAAACGATGAATCAGTTGTGGATAAAAATAGAAATACAGGTGGATCCTTGGCACCGCACCGGGTCATTTAAAAACTAATTTTAACTTTTAATAAAATCAAAATTGAAATTCTGTCGTGATTAAATGGTATCTGTCCACTGTCCATATTTTGTTTATTCTCCATTGATCATTTTTATTTTGACGATTTTGATAATATCTTTCTATCACTGTCTATCCGCTTGCAAATATGAATAGTATTCCCCAGCCGTACTTCATTTTATTTCATTTTATTCAGGCCATAATTCGTCTTCTCAAGCTACATGATCACTAAGCTATTTCTAAATTTAAAATGGTTTTTATCGAAAGAGGATGAAAGAATTATGTTTACGTAATTCTAGTAATTATCGAAGATTGTTGACTTCTGATCGAATAATAATTAATAATAAATAGTAGATGGTATTGATAAATAGGTATTGATAGATGATATAATAGTGATAACAAATAATTCACCATTGGTAAAATAGATCGAGATAGTTTGAATTCGTATTAGATATGATAGGACATTTTAGTCTGAAAATCACTTGTAGAAAAATGGAAATATAGATCGAACTGCAGTATCATCCAGATTTTTTAATGATGAGTAAATAATGCATTATTGTAAGAAAAAAAAATAATTGCATCATCGACAATTGTTTTTTTTTTCATGAATTTTTCGCAATTTGAAAAATTTCCATCTAAAATTGAATCATTCATGTCTTATAAAATAAATTTTTTTTTCTTTTTTTTTCTATTCCTTAATAAATTATCGATCGTTTGACCTTCTGATTTCTTCTGATAGTCGTTTTTGCTGATAATTTTATCAGTTTCATTATTTTTTTACGCGAAAAGTTTTCGTGAAAAATGTTCATCAAAAAAGAACAGTTGTTTATTCCAAGTTTTTTGTTATTTGATTTTTTCCCATTTTTTTTCAATTTTTTCTTGGCCTTTAACCTTTTGATAATTTAATTTCGAAGATCGTTGAGGAAAGAAATGATTTATTAAAGATAACGGAATTGTTGATAAATATAGAAAGAATTTATTTGGTGTTGAACCAGTTTCATATTTAATAACAATGTAATTTTTATTTCTTTTTAAAAATTTTCCATAAAACATGTAAATTATTTCAAATGAATATTTCGCATTGATAAAAAGAATGATTTAAATACCATCTTCCTTTTTTTTTATCACTTTCTTATCAATGTTTATTATTTAGAAATTATTTAGAAATAGATTACTGAATTGATTAGACGAATTGAACTGAAGATTTTAATAACACAATTTCATTGATAGTTTTTCAATTTCATTGTCGTAGTTAGCAACGCACTACACTTTATTTACTTGTTTGTTCATAATTAAAAAACAATTTTTAAAACAAAAGAAGATTAGAAAGAAATATTAGGAAGAAAGATTTCAAAGAAGGAACACAGAACAAAACAAGAGTTATGATTTTTTCTTGTTGGATGAACCACTTTATCACTGATAACTGATATTTAATAAATGAATGCAATAAATAATATTGTGAACGCGCTGGTAATCTATAACAAACTTGGTATCTCATTGGTTGCTGTTCTGTATCTGCACCCGCTTTTCACTTCAATGTAATGTTATTATCATATGAGTGGGCTTAGTCAAAGCATAAACACAATGATTAGCTAAAATCAGTTAGCTCATTATCACCGTTTGAAATGAAATAACGCGACTTTTTCTAGTTGCAAAGGATTTTTTCGCAAGGATTTTTTATTTAAAGCTAAATGAATCTAATTAATTTTTGAAAGAATAACATGAGAGGAAAAAAAAGGATTTGAAATGAATTTTTCTTTTAAGCTAATAAATTAAATTTAATTTTTGAGGGGAAAAGTTTTGTGTAAATCGAGAAGTATTTTACTAGAAATTAATTAACTGTGTAAAAGCTAATTTTTCATTGAATTTTTGTTTTTTTTTCTAATAAATTATATAAGAGAAATTATATGTTTATTTCTCGGTCATATGATTCAGAAGAATTCGGCGAATTTTTGTCGAATTTTATAGCTAAAATTTGAACAATAGAAAAAATAATTTATTTAATTAGTGATAATTTTCAACAAATTAAAATTTGGCAATGATTCATTGATTTTTTGAGAAATTACAATTGTTGATAAGTTTATCGATAAGTTTCACTTATTGATAACACGAAAGAAAATTTTTAAAAAACTTACTATAAACTAATTTTATGAATCTATAGATAAAAAGTAATTAAAAATAAAAGATAACTGAAAGAGAGATTAACTGAATTTTAAAATAAAATGAATATTTACAATCAAATCAAAATTGAAATAATAGTTATTATTGTAATAATTGATAACTGATAATAAAAAAAATTATAGGTGAATGCAAGCAGTGTTGATCGAATGGTAGCTGATCTTCAGACGCATGCAACTGATAGTGATACACCACCGACACCAGCATTACCATGGTGGTTTACACCTGAATGTGAAAGTCAGCTAATATCAGCATCATCGGCATCATCAACATCATCGTTAGAGGCACGAGCACAAGGAAAACGGTCACCTGTGCCAGCTATAAAGATGAAAACATCAACTCCATCAGTAACAGCACCATCACGGCCACAGCCTGTAGTGCCACCACTTCCACCATCGCAACCTTTGTCCTTATCAGCAAATACGAAAATTTCATATACTCTACCTCATACTCAGCGTTCGGCTGTTATTCCACAACAACATAACGATATTAAACAACAATTGAAAAGTCAACTAGAATATTATTTTTCAAGGTTTATTGATTTCAGTTTCTGATTTTGCTGGTTTACTAATTTATTTTTGGTGCAAATTAAAACAGTATTTTGAAGCAGTAATATTTTGAAACAGTGTTGAACTGAATGGGTATTAATATGTAACTAGAAACCCTTAACTAGAAATATTAATCTAAAAGTAAAAAAATAAAAATTTCAGAGAAAATCTGATGACTGATCGATTCTTAAGGTGTCAGATGGACAATGATCAATATGTACCGATACGTATAATAGCTGGTTTTCCTAAAGTCAAGAGGCTAACCAGTGACTTTGATCTGATCGTGCAGGTTTTGCGCGGTAAGCCCATATGAATTCTAATTTTTAAAATTTTTAAAATTCTTCTAGTTAATGTCTTCAGTTGTTTTTATTCTATTTAATTTGTTGTTTCCTCAACTCTCATTTGAACCAGTTTTTTATTGTAAGCAGTCAGAGTGCCCATCATTCATTATTTATAAAGCCATCATTAAAATGAAATCCGAGTCGTTTATGGATTTGTGATTCTATTCCTGAAAAGGTTCTTATTCCTAGTTGCGCCAGCCAAATTGCAAATAATGTATATTTTAGAAAACGAAGCATAGAATGATTTTAGAATCTAATCAAGTGCAAGTTGATGAAACAGGAGAACGAGTTCGAGCGGCATCAAGACGATGCACGATTATTTTGCGTGAAATACCAGAAACTACTGATGAAAAAGTATTTATTAAAAGTATTTGATTCACATATTAAGATAAATTTTTCTTTTTTGCTTTTTTCCTAATATTTATATTATTCTAATATAATATTTTCTAATATTTTTTTTCTAATATTAATTAATATTAATGTAATATATAAAACGAAAATTTTGTAGTTAAATGCTACAGGAAGTTGCGTCGATGTTTGCTGGAGGACCACCATATATAAGTATTCAATATGGTTTGAATAATAGTTGGTATGTTATGTTTGATTCAGAAGAAGCAACTCAAAGAGCCTTTCTACATTTGCAGAATCGTGGCAAAACCTTTAATAACAAACCAATATGTGTATGCTTTTATTATTTATTTGAATATTTCGCTCTTTTTTTATAATTTATTCAACATTAACTTGGTAAGTGATCTTGCTTTAGGCTAGGATAAAAACTGGTGGCGCTCCATATTCTGATAATCAACTGCCATTAGAACGAGCATTATCTACACTGCCAACTGAAGCAGTGCCTGAGACTAATATCCCTATTAATTCATCAACCACTATTGCACCTGCAGGTAGAATAATTCTCGAATTCTTTTGCTTTTTTTTTTAAAATTTCTTGTTCATTTTGAAGAACCAAATCAAATTAATTAAATGAACCATAGAAAATTTCGATCTTGGTCAAGTTCTGGCAAGTTATGGCTATGTACCACGAGCTACTTATAAACCAGGCGCTGCTGTAGTTCATGTTAATTCAACAGTGGATCTTATGAGTCGGATTAATATGTCAAGGATTCGAGGATCTAATTCGGCGAATCATTATCGGAGTTGGTTGTTCTTTATTTAAGTTATTTTTTATTGCAGGAATAATTTTTAAAAATTTGAGTTTCTAATGATATTTAATTGAGATTTTTCATACAGGTGGTGGCAGGGGTCGAGGAGGTGGTGGTGCTATAAATGGGTTGATGAGCCATCGTGTTTTAAATGGTCATCGAGATTATGGCAATACGAATTACCAACATAGTTGTAATCGTAGATCATCTGGTTATAATGATTCTCATTGGGAAAATTATCGTGATCGAAACGATTCATATCGATCTCGTGGTCGTTATATTCGACCTAATAGCTTTAACTTTGGTATGTCATTGTCATTACTAAAATTATCTGATTTTACGATAAGTTTTTGAATGTATTTGAAATGCATGTGTAGTATCATAAAAGATTTTGTAAATTTTTTCTCAGAGGATTAAAATTCCAGAGTAACAATAAAGAGAAAAGAATTTTATGGAAAAAATTTAGGTCTCGGCAATTCACGCAGTCGAACTCCTGTGGAAATGTATCAGCATTCACGACGAAATGACAATCGCCAACGTATATCATCCGAATTCAACCACGATTATAAGTATAAAAAAATTTCACTATTGGATATTATTTTTTTTTAAAGATTATTGATGAGTTGTCGATATTTGAGATTTGAGTCATTTTTTTGTAAAAAATTCTGTTTTGTTTGATATTTTTAGTATACCATCAAACAGCAAACAATCGAATTCAAAACGTGATTCATACTCGAAATCACATAATACAAATGGCAAATCCTTTGTATCTCGTCCTATTATCCAAACGCCGGATGGCAGTAAAAAGTACGATGATCGCCACACTTCATCATCTCTTATTGAAGAAACGAAATCAGAACCGAGTAATTCAAAAATTGAGTCAGAATACAATTTTGAAGAAGTGAGTAATTTCACCAATTTGTCATTCAAGCCTTTAACGTAAATTGAAACAGTCAAATTATGTTGGAGCTACTAGCAAGCCAAGCTGTTGAATAATATTTCATAATCTTGGGACTGGAAAAGCACTTCAATCAAAAATTTTGGTTAGGTCGTTCCAGCATGATGATTGAAACTTGGTTATCTTACATGGTTAATAATTTTTTATATATAGGGAGCATTTCCAAGTCTTTCTGTGGAAGTAACTGAAAAGAAAGTATCTGAAATGGAAAAGCCTATAGAAAGACCAACATTTAGTTCGGTTGCTGCTGGTAGGAAACGAGAAAAGAAAGAGCAAAAAGAGAAAAAAAGTTACGCGCAAACTTTAAAGCAGACTAATGGGTAAGTGAAAATTTCAATGCCATGAAAATCGTTTTCCATTTTACTTAAATTTAAAATGTTTTGTTTGTTCAGGTATTAGTTTTGTAATAATTTTGCAAAGACTAGCAAAATTTAGAAATTTTTTATTTTTTCAATTGTTGCCATTTTATGAAATTATGAATCGTATTTTCTTGCTTTAGTTTATTGATCAATTGTTAATAATCAATTATTTTTTCTAAAAAAAAAGAAAATTCAAAAGTGACTTTCTGTAAAATGAATGTCTTTTTTTTCAGATGACGGTAAGTTCATAGATCAATTGCTCGCAGCTGTGCGTGAAATTTGATGAAATTATGAAAAGAACAGGACGGAATAAACTTTGTTATAATTATTTGTTATTATCATTATTATTATTGGTTATTTTCGTTTGCAGCTGAAATTTTCATAATTTAATCGTTTCAGTTCATTGTTTTTAAATTCTTTAGTTTTGGGAATAGAAATTTTTTTGGATAATTATTTATCTATCATTTAATTTATTTAGTTTTTTGTTAGTTTATTGTTACATCTCTCTTCACGATAATAGCGATTTATCCACGAAATACAAATAATTATTTTAGCGCAGTTTTTTTTAATATATTGATGTTTTCTGTATTTATTGGATTCTATCGTAAGTTATTTCAATAATTAATTCTTTATTTTCTCTATTTTCAATTTTTTGCAAAAGCATATCGCATAACATTTTGCGAGTTGAATTGATTCATGTACATTTTTATATTTTTATTTCTTAATCAATTCTTAATCAAATTATTTAAAATAATATTTAATAGGGCGATCAAATAGCGTATTTGAAGAGCGCTCTTTTATTTTGCTCTTCCATTTTGTGCTTTTCAGTTGGCAAGTGAAATAGTCTCAGTAATGGCAAGAAATGCCATTTGGGTATTTTTTGGAATAGCTATTTGTTGTTTAAATAATTAAGCAGGCGAATTTTCGGTAGCTAATTATGTGCATTTTATGATAAATTCTTCATTTTCTTTTGTAGAAAAGAATGAAATAGCAAATTTTCTTTTTTATCTATCGGGTTGATTCAATATATAAAAACATATCCCAGTATATATATTTTTAAATGGGTCTATCATTTGTTCAAGTTATCTTTCATTCCTTCTATTTTTTTTTATCACTATCTTTATAATAATAATTTTGCTTTTATATGTATATTTTGCCATTCTTTTATATTCATTGTTTCTTCATATGGGTTTTTTTCGTTTGAACTGAAAGATTTAATTTAAATGTGAAACGATTGAGAATGAACTCAATTTTGGTAAAGTCTAATTATAACCTAAAGCGTTCATCTTTTCGTGGATATTGCCTCGTGTTTTAGAATCATCTCGACTAAATTCTAATCCGACTATTTCGATCTTTTTTTAAAGAAAAGCGAAAAGTACCTGATGAAATAGGCCAAATGCCCTACAAATATCGTTCTTTTTCGACTTGAGTTTTTTTCTTCCTTAATAGTGCAGAATAATTAGGGTTAAGGAAAGGGATGAGGTAGTTATAAAGCTAAGAAAACACCTCTCATGATTCTCTGTTGGTATTTCACGAATTTCAGTTCATTCTTCTAACTGTTATCTATAAATCATCCTCAATGTGATATGTATATGAAATAATTTATTTCTATCTATTCCATTTTTCATACACTCCATAATTTTTTTTCTATTAATTCCAGTGGTTCATTTAATAATAATTGTAAAGTGAAATAGATGTGACGGTTTTTTTTCTAAATTTTTGTAATTTTTTCTTAGGCGACTTTAAAAAGAAATTAGAAAGAGAAAGAGAAAGACGAGCATTTTGCAAAGATCATCTTATATATTTCTTTTTTTTTTCACGAGAATTTTTGTAAAATTGCTTCAATTTGAGTTGACTTGGATGAAGTGTCTTATTTGTTGCTAAATTATTTGAATCACTGGTGATTTCGATTTGTCTTTAGGTGATTATAAATGAATTACTTTTAGTGCAAATCGTTTTTTCTCCTATCGTTATGGCTTACAAATTGTATATTAAATATTATATTCGATATTCGTATCAAAAATTTTTATAAAAACGTCCATGAAATCGCCCATGAATTACTATATTCTTTTGATTTTTGTTGTTAAAATCCATTTTTTTGGTTTTTTTTTTTTGAATTTACAAGAATGATTAGTATTTTCGATTTATTCGATTTAATAGAATTTTGGAAATTGGCTAATTAATTTTTATTTATGGAAATTATATGGGTTGCATGGCGATGAATTTTTACTTTTTTTTTTTCAAATGCTGGCCATCTTTGTTTTCCGTTGTTTCTTATAAAACTTTTCAGCTTTATTTTATTTTCATTTGTTTTGCAAATAAAAAAAGTATAGACAAATTCGATTGCATATTTTCATTGTCTATGAAAGGGTTTTGTGCTGAGAGTTGATAAATTATTATCATAGATAATGTCATGGAAATCGCCTAAGGGATTCAAAAAATACATTAGTAAATTATGGAAGAATTACAGGTAAGGAAAGAATTTTCCGCATTATTCATTGGTCGTTTAAATGGTTTGACAAGTTAGCTTATTAACTAAGTCCTTGGATGAAATAAAATTATAGGGGTCTACATATAAAATTTTTATTTATTCACTATTTGACAAAGGTGTAATAGTTGGAACTTTGAAAGTTGGAATTTTCCTCAGTTCATATCTCATGCAGTTACCATGCTGAGAACAAAAGCACTGGGTAGGTTCTGATAATTCTCAACGAAGTACAACGTGTCGAAAAGGCTAGTTCAGCGCTGATTGCGTGATGATTGTGATGATTCGATTTAAAGCGAATCAGTGGTCGTCAGTGCTTCTTATATACCCACGCTGTGCGTATGACCAAGAAGAAAAGACCGTTAATACGGGAATTCAGATTAAGGGAATTTTTTCCAAAAGGCAACAAACATGTCCTTAATTGGAAGATTGGAAGATTGGAATAGGGCACACAAGAAACTACGACGGAACGGCGAAATCAGAAAGCTATTTGGTGATCGGAATGTTTGTCTATCTTTTATATTTATGGCTATTGCACTGCTGTTTTACTTACTTCTTCCTGTGAAGGTTGGCATTTCATTAGTCTTTTGGCAATTTTTGTTCGTGTCGTCAGCCTGTTCCGAATTCCTTATCACTCCTAGTACACCATTCTTATTGATAATTTTTTTATCAAATCCTGTTTATGATTTTTACGATCTCAAATAGCATTTTAATTTCGTCGTTTGGTGATAATATCGACTCAGTAAATGTAAATGTAGAAATTGGTCTGACTCGAATCTGATTCATTATTATTTGGTAGCATTGGCAATTTTCATGGATGCTACGGTTCGCATCAAGATTCTTATAAAGATCCTCAGAAGTTGTTTTTCGACTATCTCAAGCTAAATAATAATTCGGCTGCAGTATGTATCCATTAGCCAATGAGAATAAAAAATATCAAGATCTCGTTTAACTCGATATTTTTCTAAGGTATATTTTAGCCGAGTCCAGTGGATACAGATAGAACCTCGCATAATTGCATTCATCAGATTTGAATGCTGCCATCTAAATCAATTGTATGATCACTCAGAGAATTACCATAGGATATGTTATTTCGTGTCCATCATAAGAATAAACGGCATATCTTGCCGCTTATGATGGGCGACACAATCGACTAATCAAGCTCTAAATGGATATGCTTATGTGTTTTCGAGGCAGTTTTTGTCGCTTTCAGTTATGGCTTTGGACTACGAGGTTTTGAAAATTCTCATCTTTATAGTCAACCAGAGTTGCACATGAAGATTAAAATTAAAGTGAAGTCGCCTTTTCCTCATAATTTCATAAAATTTAATCGAGTCGATTTAATTTGTGCCAGTTTATATTATATTAATATATAACTTTATGATTATATGTTTTCAAATATTTTCATTATAAATTATTAATTAGGAATTAGCGAAATATATTTGCAATTAATAATTACTTGGGGAAATCACTAAAAAGCATTCATTAAGGGACCATTGATTTTTTTTCTTAAAATAAAATTTAATAAATTTATTTAATAAATTTAAATATTTAATAAATTTGTTCGTTAAAAAAGCTATGCTTTGAGCCTAAAACCTAAATTTGTTTTAGGCGATGAATTTAAAATTTTTTAATTCTTTTTAATTTAATGATTCTTTTTCTCTTAGCAGTAGACAACATTCCTGGTTGCAGCAATTGAGGCTATTTGGCCATTTTAAGCTTCTGTTGGGAATATGAGTGGAGAGCGACGGCTGAACTGAGTTTACGTGTATTTAAAAGATCCACGTAGCCTAAAGATGAGCAAATAATCTTTAAAATTGTGCATTTTCTCTATTCTTCAAATAATCAACGTTAAAATCGTTGATTCTTTAGCTTAACATTTTTAATTTTTCTAGAAAATTGTTCACCAAATTTTCGGCTAGCAATTTGATGGATAGAAAATCACCTATGCCATTCCATCATCGATGAATAAACTTTGGCAGTTCAGCAGGCTGAGAAAATTTCTAATTCATATTCGACGATACTATAGCAGTGTTTTTTCCTTTGACTTCTTTAATGTTAGTTTATTTTTATTCTACGGGTTTAATGTGGCTAAAATATTTTTCCATTTTACTTCAGTACAAAAAAGGTGTAATAGTCAGTTACGGCCAGCAAATCTGTTATTATTCGTCACGGGCGACTACGTCTGTAAAAATGTCAGCGATTTCGATACGTGATGATGGCCACTTTATTTTGCGTATTCATGTTAAACCAAACGCTAAGCAATCACAAGTGGTGGGTAAGTGGTGTTTTGTTGGCCGATTTCTTTGGATTTAGATTGACTCTTTTGACTTTTTGAATTCGAATGTCTCCCCGTTTATGTGAAGTGATTTCCTCGAAAATACCATGTTTAATCTATTTTCTTTGAAAATGTGAACAATTTTATCAATTTTTTATCTTAAGATGACGCTCGAATATCAGACTATCAGACTTTATTTTTAGAAATTGGAGAGGAAGAAGTGAGCGTCGCTATTGCTGCACCTGCAATAGACAACAAAGCAAATGAAGAACTTTTACGTTTTATAGCCAAAACACTCGGCATAAAGAAGAATGCGATCAACATCGAAGCTGTAAGTTGCCAAATTCTTTGAGCATTTAGATATATTTGCTTTAAGAGTTCCAAAAAATCCTCGATTAATGTTAAACAACAAATTTCTTAAGCTATTTTTACAGGGTTGCCATTCGAGAACGAAAACTATTCTAGTGAAATCGACTAAGCTGACATTGGATCAATTACACGAAAAGTTAACAGAAGGACGAAAAGATTAGAAAACTATGCTAAACTTTTTGTATGAGTCTTTTGGCGAAAAAAATTCTTTTGTAGCTTGTTTTTTATCACCTTATCACATTATCATAACCTTCAAGAAAGGAATTACTAGTTATCTATCAAAATGCCGCAGCGATAAAACTTTTCTCAAATGCTTTCTTCAAGAGTTACAACTGGTGAACAAGAGTTGTATTAAAATAACAAAAAACTCTTTAGGTTGGAAAACCTTATTAACTTCCTATTTTAGTGTAAAAAGATTTTTCTATAAGGAGAATAATTTATAGCGAAATTTTAATTTTGATCACCACAATCACCAGAAAAATTAATCTCGCTTATTATCACATCGTTACCATATCAAAAATCTTTTTAAAAAGTACATTTTTTATTTTTAAAAGCCATCAAATGAATAACATGAATAAGCGAACAATTAATATTATATTATATAATATTTTAATCGGAAATAAATTCGATTTTATATTTTATGGTTTTTTATAAATAAAAATAAATAAAAAAGTTGAATTTTCATACGAATTCAATGAGTAAATTCAATTCTATTCAATATTTACTAAAAGTAAAAGGCAAAAGTAAATAAAAACGGGGAAGTAACATCGACAATGAATTCTTCCTGCAAATATTAGCGAACACTTCCGATACATCCAAACAACACAACTATTGTCGAACTACAACCATACAACTGCGTTAATCTTTACACATTACAAAGAAAGTCGAAAAATCCATAAATATATAAAATATAATGAATAAATCCCATGAAATATTTAGAATCAAACATACATATATTTAGATATTTAATATTTTGAATTTAAAATATAAAAAAAATTTAATATAAAAATTTTAATTTAATATAAAAATATTTATAAATTTCTAATATTTTTTAATATTTCTTCAAATTTCTTAAAATTTTCTCCATCAAAAAATTTTCGAACTTTGTTATAATTTTCGAAATCAGAAAATCTTAAAGCCATAGACGAATATCCAACAAGCTCATTCGATGCAATGAAGTTTTTAACTGGGCTTTCTTGAAGATATTTGTTTTATTACCCCCCGCTTCCCCACCTCAAGTTTTGACTTACATCTCGCCAAAAATTCAGATTTTGTAATTCAAATTCAGATTCTTAGTAATTTGCGAAAGAGTTTTATGTATATATAATATAAAATAATTAATAAATAATATAGTAAAATTATTTTAAAATATTTCGAATCAAGTTGAACCAACAAATTCAAATCACAGAATTCATAGTTCGGTAAATTCCTACCGAATTTTTTTTATATAGTTCAGTAAATGGATTATTTTTTTCGACCATCAAAGAAAAATATAAAAATCCATTTTTACGAAGCTGGAAAAAAACGAATCCTAGAAAAGAAGAGAAAAAACTTATTGCCTATTTTTATTTCCCATAAAAATTTGTGCATGAAAGAATAGTGAATCCATTTTTCTTTCTTTTTGAATTTTCAATTCATTACAACCAAAAGTTCTAAAAAAAAATTTAAAAAAAAGAAGGACCAACTAAATTATCGCTGAAAATCGTGAAAAAACTTTAAAAAGCGAAAAATTATAAAATTCATACCTTTGATAGGTATATCATTTGCACGAAGATTGTAAGGTATGGGAAGAGCGTGATTATCGCCACCTTTTGACCTTAGTAAGCAACTCACAGCATCAACCTAAGTTCGAGTATAAAACATTTTATTACATTATAATATTACAATAATATTTATTTTCATTTTATTTTCATTTTATAATATTTATTATCAAAAATCATAGAAAAAATATAGTGAACTGGTAAATATCTTTTCTATATCTCTTCCAAAAACATTTTTATTCACATCATTTATTAGGCTGAGATCATTTGATCATCTCGAAGATATTAATAAACATAGGTAGACAAAGTCCAAAGCTTTTAATAAAAAGTTTATCCTCAATAAAAGGATCGAATTCCCCTTAGCAAATGACAATCTTTCGCTTATTATTTCGATTTAATAAAATATTTTTAATAAAACGCACATTATATGAAGATTCGAGATCATCAGCACCCATATGTCCCACATGACGAAAATCCATCGGACAACCAATCATTGAACGATCCACTCGAATCCTCGCTATCTAAAAGCATAGATTCTCTCTTTTCTTCTTCTAAGAACGCTTAAAATTTCTGGTTTCTTTCGATTTTAGTTTTCTATACTGGCCTACTGAACTAGATCCCCATGCTATTTGACGATGCGAAGTGTGCCAGTATCAACCGGATTTTGATTCAGTCCTCTTGAGACTAGAACACCAGCAAAGGTTCCGAAATGAAAAGAACAACGCACTGTGTTATTTTTAGAAAACATCAAACTATCAATTCTAATTAAGCTATTAGAAGGAAGAAGATGAAATAGCATATCTAGCCTCTGACTGCGGAGTTATACAACAATTCAGAAATCGAAAACGAGTGCTTCGATTAAACATTCTTCGCGATTAAACGTTAAATAGTCGAATTTCTATGAAAAAAACCTATAAAATACGTTTATTTATTTTAAAAAAATAGAATAGACGAAAGCGCGAAAAACAGCGAAAAATAGCGAAACGAAATTTTTATTATAATAATAAATAATTATAATAAATAGAAAATAAAAATAGGAAAGTTTATGAAGTTTAAAAAGTAATCATTGCCACTAATATATGCCAAAAGAAGTGGAAAAAAATGGAAAAATGGAAGATTAAATGAGTTCAAAAAGATATAAGCAAAGCTTACTTGTTCTTATCAACATTAATGCTTTCGCTTTATGGCCTTGGCTTGGCTTATATTTTAAATAAACAAATAAAATAAAGATATTAGTTAGAAGGACAATAAATATGCAAACGACAATGCTATACCATCCTCTTATCGAAAAAACAAAGTAATGTGTTTTCTCATCATCTATCAAATCTATCAAAACATTTATTACTTTAATTATAGGGAAAAAACCCATCTGCCTTGGCGAATTTGATCATTTAATAATTACTTACCTATCAGCTATTCAACGAGGTAACTACTGCATTATTCATGAACAATTAATTACTGTAAGTCAGATTCTATATAAAAATCTTATTGAATAGAAAATTTCAAATCTGCAAAAATGGGAAATCACTGAAGAACATATAAGGAAATTCAAGTCGAATGAAAAAAAAGCCTAAAATGTCGATGTTTAGGAAGGAAGATTTACGGAAATGCGATGAATTCGATGTCATTAAGATTAATTGCCGCCAATTCTTCTTCTAATAGCACGCACCATTTCTTGTTTGGCTGGTTCCACTTGTAACTATGGAAGCCTTTAGAGTTAGAGGGTTGTTTAGAGAAAGAGATAAAAATAGATCCAAACAACACTGGAAGTCATTGATTACTGTTAATAATAATTATTGTTAATAGGATTTTTTAAAATAAATCTGACAATGAACCAATCCTAAATTTAGAATGCATTTGCGAGGAAAAAACTCTGCCAAAAAAAGGAATATTTAATAGAATATTTAAAGCCTTAGATAGTTAAATTACGATAAAACCAACCAAGGGATTGGAAACGTATCCCAAGGAATTCGACAAATCCTATTCACTAAGTCGTATATAAACCCCTATTATAAAAATCTGTTATTATCTGTAATCTGCTATTAGGAAAATGAAATGTAAACGTTAGGAACGGCCTCTGTACCTTTGTCTTTGGATGATTCTCTAGCGAAAAGGAACTCATTTAAAATATCCTAGCACTTAGTGAAGCCAGCCAAACCAGAAATGAGGGCTAATTCATAAAAGAAGGTATTTATCGAATAAAAATAGACAAAATAAATAAACTAACCGACATCATTCCTAATTTAATTTGTTCGATTACTGAATCGAAAACATAACATTCTAATAGTTCATTCTTTCCTCCTCGCTCTTCTCAGTTTTATTTTTTCTTTTCCTTGGCCCATTAATTTCCTTTTTGTTTTCGGACCAATGAAGCAAAAGTTATTTACCACGATAATGTATTTTAATTGGCCTTAGTTCTTACCATGAATATAAAACGAAAAATATTTGGACAAATGGGTATCAAAAGGAAAATTTAAACAAATTTTAGTGATTTTATTTTTGATGTCCATTGACATAACGTGTTTATATCAATAATGTTATTGATAATGATTATAAGTTTGACGATTGCTGTCGTAATAAATTTAAAAATTAAAATGGTGATTTTAAAGTTGGTGATAAAAAAAAACCAGTTTTCTTATCATTTTAGCTATTTTCAACTAAAATGAAAAATTATTAAGAATATAAGCATGAAAAGAAAAATTATAGCGTTGAAGATAATATGACAAAAAAAAACGCCAAGTTGAAAATAAATCATCCAAGTTATCTTCCAAGCAAATAAATTATATAATTTTCTCTTCGTCTTTCTAATAGCTCACAATTTTGTTGATATGGTTGACTGCTTGGACGACTGAAATGATAAAACATTTCCAGATAAATAACAAAAACTGCAGATGTGAAGCATAAAAATAACAAATTGAACTAAATTGTCATCAATATGGCACGCATCCATCGCTAATTCTATAATAAAACCGGTAGTGCACAAAAATTTTGAATAAACATTTAAAGAGAGAGAAAGAACAAATGTATAAAGTGTTTGCTTATAGACAGATAAATTATATTATTATTAATTATATTATATTATAAATATTATAGATAGATAAATTATATTATTATTATTTATTATGAATTATTATTAATAAATATATTTTAAAAAGAAATTTAAATTTATTAAATTCGAAATATAAATAAATGAAAAATAAGTAAGGCAAATCTATTTATAGAAAGGAAATCTTAAATTTTTTCCAAATTTCTAACCAATTTAATTTAATTTATTTTATTTTACTCCATTAGTAAGCAAAAAATCACCTAATTTTTCTTATCGAATCTAATAAATTTAAATTTATTTCAATTTTTAAATAATATTTATTCGTTGAGCCACATTCTAACACTATAATTATTTC